TGTTTCATAATTGTTGAGCTTACTTCCATTTCGAGTGAAAGTGTTGGGTGAAGAGATTCGAAGGTTGGTTTTCTTGACTCGTTTGCTTCAATTTGGTTGTGACGATGATACCTTGCTTTGATGATGCTCGTCATATGACGGAATCGAAGGAAGAAAAGGTGGGTTTCGAGGAGTCTCTTATTTCATAATTGTTGAGCTTACTTCCATTTCGAGTGAAAGTGTTGGGTGAAGAGATTCGAAGCTCGGTTCCACCAGAAGACGTAGGCCGATTCCTCTTGACCAGCTGTCGATTGGCTTTACTGGCAGATTCATGCTGACGCTGTTTCCGAGTAATCTCCTTTTGATTCCGGTGAAAAGGTGCTAAGCTTTCGTCCGTCATATGACGGACATCATCAGAGCGAGATAACATCGTGACAACAAAATTGAAGCTTACGAGTCAAGAAAACTTGAATCTCTTCACGCAACACTTTCACTCGGAATGGAAGTAAGCTTAACAATTATGAAACAAGAGATTCCTCAAAACCCAACTTTTCTTCACATATATATTTGTCAGCCGTTGCAACTCTTTAGTAAAATGTTTGCTATACGCTCGTCTCATACTTCTAATCATCATTGACTTCAAAATTCCAACCTTAGTTTTGTGACTATGGTTGGAAAGCAGGGCCGACATATGTTTGCTTCCTATAAACATATCTTCCTAACTTACCCTCTTCTCCAATGAACAAAGTAAGGACTTATTCTCTTCCATTTTCATCGTGAACCTAATGTTCCTTTCACGCTGGTTGAGTGAAAGTAGGAAATTATTTCAACTTTTGCGATTCAACTGTCCACGAATCTCTTCAGCATGCACTTTCATACGAAATGAAAGTCCGCCCAACAATGAAGACAACAGTCGCATGACAACAATGCCGATTGATTCGGTGGCAGCGTGGGTGTTGGGTACGCTCTTCGAAGTTTTCCAGTTTGCAGAAACCAAGTCGAACCAGTCCCAGTCTAACATAACAAGACAAGTAGCGTGTCTCGGCTGAGTCGTCTTGCCACGAGAAGATGCCCAACAGTAACCATTTCCAAACACTCTGACCCTTGAGGGTGACGACCAACTCACCGGCTCACACACTCTAGAGACCGCTCGCGCCAGTCCGATGGGTACGGTTACTCTATCCGTAGTCATTGACCACGCACTCCGACCGTACCACATTGCCTCGCCCAACCGCCTATTTGCTCGGCAAGGGCCACAGTTCGAAACCCGCGACTGCCTGTCGCCATGACACAACCGTGTCGACTAGTAGAGAGTGTGTAGAGGCGCCAGCACACAGACACACACACACACACAAACAGAGAGAGAAAGAGGACAGGGAGACAGGAGAGCATGTGCGACCCAGGCTAAAGTTTAGCGGAGGCGAGTTCTCTGATGAGGATGATGATGACTCCCACGGGTCGACAATGCTCCTAAAAGAGCTGCTATTTACCGACCAAAGAGATGTTTACTCATTTGCCAGACGACAAAAGCTGCTCCACTCCTCGGTCGCTCTGACTCTCTCAATCTGGACTACAAATGGACGCAAACTCTGCTTCCTGCACCATCGGTTTACTCTCGTAACAGCATCTGTCTATCCATCGTTACGCCTATTCCCTTCCTTTTCTCCTCATTTTTACCACTTTCGAGCATTCCGCTTAGCCATTTGGCCGCCTATTTCTGTCCTATCCCTCGCAATGATTGTCTATCTACCTATACTTTAATTAGGGCAAATACATACATACATACATACATACATACATACATACATACATACATACATACATACATACATACATA